ACATTATGCAGGAAATGTTATGCAAATGGCTTGTTTATCGCTTCATCTCCGTGTCAGCCACTTGTTTTGTGGCCTGTCTACAGTGTGCCGTGCTTATCTCTGGCTTAGGGTGGAGCATAATCTTTTAACACCTATCTGGCAGATATCTCTATTGTTGTCAGATTTGATATGCAACAGTAACTTGAGTCAGTCACTATGTTTACCTTTTAACAACCAGAGAAATACTTCAGGGAGACATGAGGGGTATTTAAGTTCATCATAGTATATATTTGCATAAATTCACACGAGTCAGACAGTCAGCAAGATGAATTTTGAAGTGTGCTGTGTGTATACTGGGGGCTCTCCCTAATCTGCACACATTGAGACACCCTTACTAAACAGATTACCTCTATAAATCTGTGTCAGGATACATTTCTGGCATGTCTAGTCATACAAAAAGAGAGAGCGTGAGAATGCAGTCACAAAACATGTTTACAGTACAAGGTATGCATCCCAATTGATTATCTCTAGACGCTGTTAAAAAACATCAGCACACTGCTGACATCTGCTGCACAAGTTAAGGTATATGCAAACCTTGCAAACACATTTGCATGCAGTTGCACAATTCCTGAATATGCATTTGTAACACTGAAGAGCAGCTCACTGGTTGATCTGTGATGATAAAAGTGGCTGTTACAGGAAAAAGAGTCTTTGGATGTGGAGGTATTTAAAGACCATTTCCTGTGTTTGACATTTACCTTGGATTAAGGAACAGCATTGTGACTCACAGCTGTAGCATGGGAGCCGAGTTGGCAACATGACATGTGTCGTGCAGGCGGGGGGGTTTGGGGGGGGGACCAGATGTTGTCCTCCTACCATGGGGAATAAACTCTATCACTCACACCGCAGGTGGTGGGAAAAAGTAGGAGAGAAAGGGAGAAGAGAACGAGTGAGTGAGAAACAACGGCAAACAGGAAGCCGAGACCTTACAACACAATGCTCACAGAGTTTCCTGCAGGCTCAGACAGATAAGGAACAACACTTTGTTTAAAGCTGTATTTTCACCCACAAACGTTTCCCGATCTCTCAAACCACATCTTACAATGCTTGCACCATTCTGTGATGTAGGGCAGAAAATGTGGATTCTGAGTTCTCGAATTTGAAAAAAAAAGAGAAATCCTAATATATCAAGACAATATAACTGCAGTAGTGAGTTTAATAAAAGCAAAATACGACACGATAAGACAATTTCCAATTATGATTATTATAATCATTGTAATTATTACCATTATGACAGTTTAGGCCTTCAAGTCAGGGGCCAGACATTAGCACTGCTGTGTTCATCATCATCTGCACATTTCTTGTCTTCATAAAACCATAAATCCTACAGCGGCAGACCAAAAGCAATTCAATGCAAAAGAGACATACACGGTTGAGGTATTGCTAATTTGGTCATTTTCATGTCTTCTGATGTTGAGCGGAGAATAGTAACATCATTACATTAATAGTTAGGTGGTTCTATCCCCACAAATCAAATGCATGATGGAAATTTGGAGCGACGACATCATAATGTCAACAGTACAAATGAACACTTTGAATAGACATTCTCCAATAAGTAGTCACATTAAGATCCACACCAGAAATACGAGTTCAGTTTGATAATAGCAAGAATCGCAGTAAAACTGTCTGCTGAACTGAAGATTAATAGTGTTAATCAGAACTACAGAACTTCTTTTGGCTGTATTGCAATGTGATTGTCTGAGAAAGAACAATTCATTCACACTTTAACTCCAGGCGAAGAAGTCCTTTGAGCATATAGTGCTGCACTAGTCATTGCACAGTGCACATTCCAAATTAGTTTTATTAAAGATTCATTATTATCATTAGTGGAAGTTATTTAAAGTGTAATCCACATGTGGGTGTTGAGGATTTTATTTTCAGTTAATAAAGCATATTATTTATGTGTATTTATGAACCCAGTCACCCTGAAAAAAAGACAGGATGAAACATGGCACATGAAGTTTCTGCTATAAACTGCAGTTGCTGACAGCCTAACAATGCCCCCTCAGCTGTGCCCTTTGCCCCTTCTACATGGGAGAATAAATGTGCCTTTGAGTGCTTTCAGAAAAATGTATTTATGAATTTGAAAACATGTGAACAATACATCACGGTGGCAAACAAGTGTGGGAAAATTAAAAATGTCTGTGAAGGCCAAGTTACTGAAATATGATGTTAAGAGAGCATTGATCCTGAGAGCTGTGCTGACAGTTAGTGAAATAGATTATGAAACCAAAAAGAGATCTTTTGTGAGGCTGGCTGAACACAATTGTCCCACTTGAAAATCCAAAACACAGAAGCCACTCCATATTATACATAAAATTTGTATTACCTAGTGCAACACCAGCTTGGGAGCCGACATGTACAAGAAGGAGTAAAAAGCAGCATTTGTTTGGACAAAGGTGGACACCAACATGTAAAAGCCGATTCTGGAGCAACACTTCCCTCTATGGACCAATAATGGTATTACATCCAATTATTGAGTAAAATTGATTATTTAACAGACAGACTGTGTCACGCAGAAGGAAAAGTACAAGCAGCGCGAATTTGTAACACGACACCTGAGCCTGAGAACTACTTTTTCATAAGATTTTGCTTTTAAATACTTTTTTTAACTTTACAATATTTAAATCTCCTATACAGTAGGAGTCTACTGGACTCTATATGATAGAAAGCGCTTTACAACTTTATTGACAATAATTTATCGACAGAAAATCTCATTATCAGTTCGTTCTTGATCATAAATCCGATGCTCCAGTGGTCAGGATTGGTGGGAGTGACTATGTTAATCCGCCTCAAACGGAAACAGCCAAAGTCTTGGGGCATCACTCATCTGATTGGGCGCCTTTGTTCTTTCAAATCGAGGTGTCCCCTCGCCTTTATTGGCATCAACGGGCCCCAGGGGGAGAAGACATCTTTTACAGTAATGCTTCACTCCTGCGTGGACTTAAACTGCTGTGATAATGGAGTCATAATCTAGGGAAAGATGGCACAGGCCTGTCAGAGACATGACAAAGCAAACAGGCTGAGGGAAGAAGTGAGCTGCATGCTGGTTGGTGATGGAGCCGTGGGGAAGACCAGCATGATCATCAGTTATATCTTCAATGGATACAACAGCGAGTACAGACAAACAGCTTTTGATGTTTTCACTGGTGAGTGAAGGTCCTTCTTTAAAAGTTAATGGCTGCTTGACTCAGCAATAAAACTTATTTCCACTTGACTTCCAGGTTTGGTTCATGTGAATGGAATTCCAACTCGGATCAAGCTGATAGATACTGCAGGCCAGGTAGATATTCCACACCACATTATGATTTCTTTAGTTAGTTCCTCCTCATCTCTCTTCATATTTGATCTGACAGGAGGAGTTTGGACATCTTCGCTCTCTGTGCTATGCCCATGTGGATGTCTTCATCCTCTGCTTCAGCCTGGTCAACCCTGTCTCCTTTGACAACATCACCTCCAAATGGATCCCTCAGATCCGTGCCGGCAACTCGACCTCTCCCATACTTCTGGTGGGGACTCAGTCAGACCTTCGCCACAATGTGGACGTCCTCATCCACCTGGACCAGCGGAGCACCAAACCAGTGCACTTCAGTCAGGCCAGAAGGCTTGCACACAGGATCAGAGCTCATGACTATGTGGAGTGTTCAGCTCTGACACAACACAACCTCAAAGATGTGTTTGACCGTGCTATATTTGCTGCCATCAAGCACAAACACGCTGGCACAAACTCTAAAAAGCTCAGCCTGCTTAAACGTTTGAAGACTTTTTGTGACTGTAGGTGGAGGAAAATATTCAGGTTCATCTAAAGTGGAATCAACCAGTGGACTGAATGTACTCAGCCTGGTGGACATGGTCTGTTTGGGGACTTCTGGGACAAATTATGCATTTTTATGATGTAGTGTGGAACCTGCTCTGACCTCCACCCTGTAAGAAATGTGACAATCTCTATCCAGAATTCATTGCATTATAGGCTACATATTCTCCTTTTCTTTATCTTTCCCGTCATCGCTTTCATGTTTTATTAGTTGTTCATATTTTTGTGTGATTGTGATTGTGCGTGTGTTAAAGTTTTGTAATAAATGTACTACAGTGTTACACATATTTAATTGCCAATTACTGTGTTTTTTTTTAAAAAAAAACAGTGCTTGAATGAATACATCTGGAAACATACAGTCTGCAGATCCTACAGTGGAACATACTGTCAGAGAAGAAATGGAGGGAAAACACAAAGTGCTATTTGGGACAAATGGTAACCTGCTGACACTTTGAAGTGCTACTTTACAAGACAAAAGCCATTTAAATCCACCCTCTGTTTGAAAGCTCACACTGAAGCAGGTTTTGAAACAATTACTGTGAAACCAACCACCCACATGGATTTTTCTTTGGTAAAATGATGATCAAAGATGAATTAACCTTAATTACAGTAATGGAGGTTTGCCCAAAAATGATTGTGATATCAAAAGAAACACCTACAAAAGATAATATTAATTCAAATGTATTTGCTGTACTAACTCAGACCTGGATGTTAGTATTTTACATAGCCTGTATGTGGCTGTGCTTCTTCCTTTACTCTTTAATAAATAATGGTGGTGGTATTTTACTGCCCTTCAGGGTTGTAAAAGTCCAAGAGGTTAAGCTGGTTTTGAGTTCCTAGCCTGCCTGAAAGGGTGTGACCTACTTCCCCTCCTTCAACAATTATTGGCATTTGAGCTTTAGGTTTTACAGCAGTAACCGTTTAAAAGTAAAACTAAAGTAGTAAAATAGCAACCAAAAAAAAAAAGCTGTATTTTGTGAGCACATAAACAATAATATATACATGTTGGGAGCTGCACAGGAATCGCCCACTCAGCCTGGACCACTCGCAGCTTGCAGAACTACGTTTCCCATCATGCAACTGCTTTTTACCCTCCTCTGACCCTGTGACTGAAAATAATCTGATCAGCTGATCTGACCTGGCAACAAAATAACGTAGCTAGAGAAATCTGCCAGGGAGGGGGCTGAAGAACAAAACAATGACACTGTTCGGAAGGACTCAAACACAGTAACACTTTTTAAAGACTTTTGAAACGGATTCGCGCGGATTTCCCTCCCGCTTGACAGTAAAAACAGTCCGCGCACATCCGAGCTTTTGACACCGACTGGCTGTTGTTTTTGTTGATGTGTTGTTACAGCTCTGTTGACAGACTGGAGGCTAGCTGCTTGTTAGGACGGCTGTGTACTGTTAGAGCTCGCTGGCTCGCTAATTACAGTTTTCTCTTTGGGGGAAAAGTTAAAACTGTCCGTCGTAACCAACAAGCTGTACACCACATTGCTGCTTTGTTGCCAGAATTGTCCGCCGAGTTTGCCTGCGAGCTGTTTTAAGGGTCAGTTGGCTAGCTAGTTAGCCTGTTGTTAGCATCAACATTTGCACATTCATCTTTTCAGGGAGAGCTCATTGTCTCGGTCGGTACGAGCTACTTGCATATTGTTTCTGTATTATTTTGGTCTATTCGCTGACCGTAGATGTATTACATGTAATGCTGCAGCTAAGTGCTAACTTTAATACACGAACAAGCTAACTGGTAGAAAGATATCAGGTGTTACTCAAGGATCCGGCTGTTTATGCTTCATTGCCTCACTGTTAGTTGCACTAAATAATATTATTAAAATCGTGTTTAAAAAAGTGTTTGAAATTCATGCTGCGAAAAGTCATTGGATAGATTGTATTGTTGCTGTTGAAACTTGGTTGTTAAAGTGAGTGGATCACCAGCCCTGTTAGTTACTATGCAGCTGTTGATTTAGTCATTGCATTTGGTCATTTCAGTGGTCAGTATTACTGCATGTTATACATTTTCCATTAACTGCTATTGGAAATTGCTGGGGCTGTTGTCAAAGGTGTTCCAATAGGCACTGCTCTGTATTTACCTGGTAAGAAACGATGAGTGGGCATGGCTCATCTTCAGAAAAGGGAGTCAATACTAGTCTAATATGTCAAGAGAGTTATTCCTGTGGTGGCTCTGAGGAGGCTGCGTTTGAGTGTGATGAGTGCAAGAGCTTGCAGTGCGTTCGGTGCGAGCTCGAGCTCCACAACCAGGAGCGTCTGAAGCACCACGAGCGGGTTCAGATTGGTCCTGGGCATGTCCCTTACTGCGATAACTGTAAAGGAGGTAATGGAGACAGTGGCAAACGCCATAGATCTGTGGTCCGCTGCCAGAACTGCAAAGTTAACTTGTGTCAAGACTGTCAGAAACGAACCCACAGTGGAGGCAACAAGAAGAAACACCAGCTCACATCTTATTCTCCACCACCCAAAACTGCAGTGGTCAACTCTGTCCAGACATCTGTCCTGCCCGCTGTCCAAATAGACGATGGGACCAAATCTCAGATAACAAAACTCCTGGAGAAGGTTTCCAGTTTTCTCTTGGTGGATGAGAATGAGGAAATGCAGGTGAGTGAGCAAAAGAGAATCAAATTCTTTGCTTAGACCGTACATTTTGTTGATAAAATAACTCATTTTCACTTTGAAACTCTGTTTCCTCGAAGATTAAAGATGAAACTTCGTTTATAAAGCGCCTGAGCTGCGACCCTGACCAGCTGCTGAAGGTGGTGTCCATCTTTGGCAACACAGGAGAGGGCAAATCCCACACCCTGAACCACACTTTCTTCATGGGCAGGGAAGTGTTCAAGACTTCTCCCACACAAGAGTCATGCACGGTGGGCGTGTGGGCAGCGCTCGACCCCATCCGTAAAGTAGTGGTCATCGATACAGAGGGGCTGCTCGGGAACAGTTCCAAACAGGGCCAGAGAACCCGTCTCTTGCTCAAGGTGCTCGCCATCTCTGACCTCATCATTTACCGCACCCACGCTGACCGTCTCCACGACGACCTCTTCAAGTTCCTCGGGGATGCCTCAGATGCTTATCTGAAGCATTTTACCAAGGAACTAAAGGCCACAACAGCCCGCTGTGGCCTGGATGTCCCACTATCCACCTTGGGCCCTGCGGTGGTCATCTTCCATGAAACCGTCCACACTAAGTTACTTGGTTCAGGTAAAATATCTCAGCAGTTATGGATTATAGGGACTTAATTTGTTACACATTTATTAAAGTCAAAGCTTAAGTAGAATGTTACTTAAAAAATGCCATAAGAACAATACATGGTGGCTGTATCATCATCACGAATGTAGGTCTGCATCACCAGAAGGCACAAGAGGCAGTGACTTTAAAGTAAACAGAGGGTTAAGAATCTGCAGATAATTGCAGGTTTAGCAAATATTAGCCTTCAGTGTTTTATCTTTCTTTCTTCTACATCACCGGAGGTAGCAATCGGCATTCCAGGTTTTGTGAAATGTGTAAACACTACTTTTTGGATTCAAAGGAAAACTGTGCATACTGTGTTGTGTAGTCAAAAATGACACATATTTATAGCTGTAGTCACACGCTAAGACAATGGCAGTTTTTGCATGTTTTAGTCAAGTTGCCGCAAATAATATTCACAAAAAATGTCTTTGTTTGTTCATGAAGTGTGTGCTCCATTACCACGCAGCAATAAAATAACTGACGGAAATGAAAGGCATGATATTAACTGTGGTGCATTACACCACTCAAGTCTCTACAAGTTGTTTTTCACTATATAGAAATGTATGGAAACAAAACACTGCTTATGAGGGAGAAAAAAACACAACAAATATGCTAGGTCTTGAAGGGTAAATGTGTTAAAACTTGAAGGGACACTGGTTCACAACTTGTTGTTTGCGCATAGCTTTATGGAGTGTGTGTTTTATTCGGACTGATGGCTGATGCAGCAACATTGTTGGCGCTTTAATATTTCATGAACACACAATTGTGTTGTATCTGTAGCGCTGATGGGCCAATGATAATCGAATATGTACAGTGTATTCTGACTGCACTGATGGTAACCTCTTGTTTTAGATAAATCACTGGACTCAGTAGATCGGCTGCTGTTGGAGCGCTTCAAGAAGCTTTCCCGCTTCCCAGAAGCCTTCAGCTCCGTCCAGTACTGGGGCACGCAGACTCTCAACCCCCCCACTGACTTCCGTGGCCTGCAGAATAAACTGGAGCAGCTCCTGGATAACAACGCCACCCGTTCCCCACGCACCCCCGTGGTCATCTTCAAAGCTCTGCAGGTAGGGCTGTATAAAATCAGCCAGCTTCAGACCTGTTTCTGAACCAAACTGTTACACAATCTGCTGATAGACTGGTGCCTGGAATCAGATAACGATGGTTTTATTTAAATCTGAACAGCTCAAGTTTTAAGCTTATATGTTTCATGTTACTGTAAAAGTTATTGTTTCTATGCAATATCACCATATGAAGAGGGTCTGTCTCGGTCTAGCTAACTTCCACTCATCCTTGACTTTTGTACAGGCATTGAGTGAGCGCTTTAATGGGGAAATTGCAGGTGAGCTTGTAGCCCACAGTTGCTTCTTCCCCGATGAGTACTTCACCTGTTCCAGCCTGTGCCTCAGTTGTGGGTGAGTACCCTCAACATTGTAACCATTATAATCTCTCCTCCAGTCATATTTGTTAAACACGCTGACTTGTTGTTATCCCAGATCTGGCTGCAAGAACAGCATGAACCACTTAGGAGAAGGAATGTGCCATGAGGCAAAGCTTCGTTGTCGTTATTCTGTCCATTATGATAATCGCATTTACACCTGTAAGGTAAGCACGCTACTGTAGCTCACCTGCATCACTCAGATAGAACGGAGCATTTTCTCTATACCACTGCCTTTGTGCTTAATCTTGTTCCATGACTGATGAGTCTAAAGTTAAAGTTGTTGTGTGGTGCATCGCTTTAGGCTTGCTATGAAGGGGGAAAGGAAGTTATAGTTGTCCCTAAGACCTCGGCTTCCTCTGACTCTCCATGGATGGGCCTCGCCAAATACGCCTGGTCTGGGTGAGTTTCAGCTGAATGACCTGCAGGGTCTTGTGTAACTTGGCTTTGGTTACCTTTACTGAACCTAATTTTAGCTCTGGGGTTCCAGACTCTGAACTAAAATCACATTTTTCTTTTAACATTAACCTACATGTTCCAAATAATACCTCAGAAAAACATGTAGTTACATTTAGAATTTCACTGAGATTGAGTTCATTTATGTGTTTACTGTATGTTCAGGTACGTTATTGAATGTCCAAACTGTGGAGTGATCTATCGGAGCCGTCAGTACTGGTATGGGAACCAGGACCCTGTGGATACAGTTGTCCGCACTGAGATCCAGCATGTCTGGCCAGGGGTAAGAGAAACAAGCTATTAAATTAATTTATGTGATGGGGATTAAATGTCGGTAATTATGAGTAATCATACAGACCATTAATTATGGCCAGAGGTGACCATTTATCTACCTATGTAGTAAAAACCTGTGTGCTCGTTGCAGTCGGATGGCTTTTTAAAGGACAATAGCAATGCAGCGCAGCGTCTTCTGGATGGAGTCAACCTAGTGGCCCAGTCTGTGTCAGAGCTAAGTGTCAAGCCTGCCAAGGCCGTCACCTCTTGGCTGACAGATCAGATCGCCCCGGCCTACTGGAAACCCAACTCCCTCATCTTGGTGAGTGACACACACAGCCCCACCCTCTGCCACCCGCCACCAACAGCCAAGTCAACACTTTGGTGTCCAGAGGGATGTTTACTGTCTGGTGTACTGCACCTATTACACAATCTGTGTGTGCAGGTCACAAGATAAAACTGGGATAGATTGCGTTCTCCAGCTCTTGGTCAATAACTGCTTCTGTTGTTATTGTTTTCCTCTTGTACAAGGTGTGCCATAAGTGTCACACAGTCTTCCAGGACAACGACACCAAACATCACTGCCGTGCCTGCGGGGAGGGCTTCTGCGACGGCTGCTCTTCCAAAGCTGCGCCCGTCCCCGAGAGAGGCTGGGGTCTTGCCCCTGTCAGAGTCTGTGATGTCTGCTTTGAGCAGAGAGCTTCATACGCAGGTACACACACTCCCTGTAATGTCAAATGTTCTTTTGTGTGTGTTATGCATTCGTTTATCACTTGGATCAACGCTTTACTGAAGATATTTTCTTCATGCAGAGCTGCTTGAGGCGGAGCTTGAAGAGGAAGAAGGCGGAACCCTCGCCAGGAAGGTTGGAGAAGCGGTGACCAACACCATCGGGGTGGTGGTAACTGCTATTGACATCCCACTTGGTGAGTGTTGCCCAAAACAAAACCTAAAAAGGATTGTTATGTAACAGGAATAAATGACCCAGAAAATGGGAGTGAATAGATACAATGCCCTCTGGTGGCAGAGGCGTAACATGCTTAGGAACAGTAAGAACGAAGAGTATTGAGGTCTGGTTTCTAGTTTGAACTCTCAAAAATGTCATGCAGGAGACCGAGAGGGATATGGGACAGCCTATTGGCCTAGTTGTAATAAAGCTGGCTTAGTTGGTTCTACACCTTCAACACTATCTGTTGTTGAGAGACTCAGATGATGAAATGATCTGTTTCATTAAGCAGATCTTCAAAAACTAAATTTTCACTTGTCTGCAACTTTCTTGCCAACAAAGATTGTTTATAGACTAAAACATTTAAATCCTCCTACACACACTGGCTACAGATTCTGAACCTGCCTCTGACAATCTCTTCAGATCTTCTTCAGGTCCTTCTACCTAATGTTTATCATAGACTAGTGCAAAGGTGAGAAAGATGTACCAGTAATCATGTTTCCTTATTTCATTTTATGAGACTTCCTGCTATAAACTCACCATTGCTGTATATTTGTTTAAGAGTGAGTGATATGAATGTTTTGAGTGTTCTGCTCTAGTCACTTCCACACTCTCCACCAACGAATGAATGAATGCACTTTGGTCCAGTGTGAGAAGAACATTTTTGTAACAGCCAATATGACACATTCTGTCAAGATAATCCAAAAGGTGTTTTTAGATAGCTCTGCTGCCTGGGAAGACATTGCAAAGTGTCTTAGGCGAGAATAAATGCTGTACTCAGTCAAATACACACCACAAATCATAGGCCTTATTTCCCCTTCTGGTTGTTGTTTCACGCATGTCTTAATCATATTTCGAAAACCTCAGACAATTTGTTTAATCCAAAGTAGTATAATTATTAATATATACTAGGCTGCCACACAAGACTACTGTAGACCTATTTTTACTGGTATAGGGCATAGATGAATATGTTTTTGATAACCCGATATCCTGCTGAAAACTTCTCCATATCCATAACCACCCCAAAAAATACCTCCAAGCAAGATCTGCTCCAATCACAACAAAATTAGCCTACTTATTTCCAAATCTTGTTTCCATGTTTCCATGGATACCCCATCCAAGACAGCCGAGGACTTACATTTTACTTGAAGTTACAGTGCACTTCAAACAGTAGAGGAAAAATAAGCCTATTTGAGAGTGTTTTGATATCATCAGTCTAGTATTATAAATAGAGTAAGTGAATGTAAATAAATGTAGGTACTGCAGCATAAAATAGTATTTAATCTGCAGGGATGGGAGCTGGGGGTTATGTGCTGGACTATTTCTTGGCCGGGAGCAGTTGCCAGGCAACCAACAGAGACTCCGGGAAGTCATTGCTCCCTGCCAAGTCCGGGACATAACCCCCATAAAACCACAACTTGCCGTTTTTCCACCTCAGTTTTTGTACAGACCAACGAGATATAACATGCTCATTTGTGAGCTTCTGAAGTAGAAGTAAGCAGAATACTCTCCTGTTTTAGCAGGTTATAAAAAACACATCTGTACTCTTTGTCAGTAAATATAGTGTAAGTCTATAGTATCCTTTGGACAGAGCCATGCTAGTAGTTTCAGATCCAGTTTTTATGCTAAGCTAATAGCTAACATAAGAGTGTTATCAATCTTCTTAGCAAAAAAAGTAAATAGGCATATTTCCCCAAATGTCAAATTGTGCCTTTAAATGCTAAAAGTAACTACCGTGTGTGATAAATGTAAAAGATTTAACTATCTATCTACTAACTATGACTAATATGTGCTGGTGTATTTATGTTACGTGTCCCCTGTAGGTCTAGTGAAAGACGCAGCCCGTCCTGCCTACTGGGTGCCTGACCAGGACATCCTGTCCTGCCACAACTGCCAACGCGAGTTCACTGCCAAGCTGTCCAAGCACCACTGCCGCGCCTGTGGCCAAGGAGTGTGTGATGACTGCTCCCCCGAGCGCCGGCCGGTTCCATCGCGGGGATGGGACCACCCGGTTCGCGTGTGCACAAGCTGCAACCAGAAACCTGGAGAACTTTAACAGGGACGGCCTTCCTTCCTCGGAGCACCGGAGAGAACCACTCGCTCACTCAGCTAGCAGTCTGTCACTGCTTTACCTCGGTTACTCTGATGGTTCTGTCTTGTATCTGTGGAAAGGAAGTTTTTAGGCATATATAAATAAATACAAATATAGGACATTTAGCAGATTTGGGATTTCAGACTTCCTGTGGCCTTTGTAGAACAGCCAGAACATGTAAGTTACTTGACTGAGTGTGAAACATGCATTTCCACTCTGATTATTGTGAATATTTAGATTCTTATTGACACAAATCCCTACTTTTACGTTAAATAAGGCTGATGAGCTATTTTTCTACTATCAGAAAATATAAAAAAAAATGTATCATTTAAAGAATATTAGTTAGTAGAGAACCCTGCGGGGTTGGTGTGATTAGTTTCCAGCAATTCTTATTAATAAGCATTGTTTCTCTGATGTCGTACGTGTAATGGCAAGGAGATATTTTATATCCGTGCAGGTGTAACTGCAGGTTCCATTGCATGCTGTATTGCAACATTTTAGTTTTTGCACTAAGCCTTTTTCAGCTGTTATAGGCTGTTGCTTACCATGGCCAAAATCCAGATATCCAGATGATCAAGTAGTCTGTCCTAAACTGAGCTGAAATCTACTACAGTGGATCTCGATTGTGGATATCTGGTGTGCCAAAAATCATTCAGGTCACTGTGTCTGTGCTGGTATAATGTTTATATTTTATCATGTAATTTGTGGTTGTATGAGGACATAGAACTATGTTAGAGGAGTGTACATTTGAATTGTTGAAAATTATTTATGTATTGATGATAAAAAAAAAAAAAACCTTATTAGCACTCTGGCATGCATGACAGTCTGATAAATCCATGGCCTTTTACTTGTTCAGAGGATGGTCTCTGAATAACACTCACTCTTTTACCAAGCGGCATTTCAGCGTTCACATGTTTCAAAGTGTTTGTATTTCATGTTCAAATTTGTTTTCTTGACACCCTGGTTTTAATTGCTCTCTAAATATTTGCAGTCGCTGCCTGCTTGGTTGCCTGGATATTGTTTAGCAAATCTGAAGAACACCCAAATTTGTCTTCAGACCAGTTTTACAAATTACATTCATGCCTCCAGGGGACAGGATAAGGACTCCTGAGATCAAAGGTCAACACATTTTGTCACATCAAAGCTTGTTTTCTTTCCGTTATTTTACATCTGTTATTGAAAGATATTGTATATGTTCTTTTTCTGGTTTTTGTTTGACATTAGTTACTGTATGGATATTTATATACTTTGTAGTGCCTGTATGTGAACCACCCTTTTTATTTTATTATTTTGTCTTTATTTTATTTTTTGACATTCAGCATTACACAGAAAAACTGATGCTCCAATGTGGCAATGAACCATATTTAATGACTGAGAGCTTTAACTTGTCTTGCATTCTTGCTAGTTTTGAGTTATTGGCTAATGAGACCGTCACATTTGGATGTCAAAGCACAAGGTGATGCCTTTAACACATATGCTTGTATTTTGTTGTTAAAAGTGAGAAAAAAAAAGGGTCTTTGTCGATTGTAAGCTTTGTAGATAAAGTTAATTCTCCCTTTGCTCCAAACGTGGAACTTTTTGGTTCTGATGTCTGATGAGAAGATGTTGTGTCTGCCTTGTCTCAAAATAGATTAATCTGTCTGAATGTTGCATTACACACACACACTCCTCTGAGATGCTAATATTGCACAGTATAGAATAGGAGACACATCATGCCGGATTACTTGTACTGGAGTTCATTCCCATGCAAATTTGTGTCGTCTGTTACTTCAGATATATCTTTTGTGGTGTTTGAGAGATGCATTTTGTGATGTCCAGTTTTTTGCTTTTTCTATTGGGTTGAGTGCTATCATCAACACTTTCTCACCTACACACTACAAATCAAGCAGAGATGACTGACACGTTTAAAACTGTTGGAAACTAACTTGAAGCGATGATCTGTGGATACTTGCTAAACTGATAGAAGATTTACATAAGATTAAAGTTGCATCAGCTCCCGTCTGTCAAAAACATAGTCTGGAATTGCCTCCATGTCTTCAGTGTGTGTGTGTGAGTGTGTGTGTGCTTGTGTGTTTAAATCTCCCTGTGTCAAACCACTTACTTGTACTGTATGTGGGAGGAATAGATCGTGTGCACGCCAGTGTATTAGAGCCTTGCTTCCATTCCTCCCCAGCACTGCAGCTTCAGATAAAGTGAGGGAAAATTATTTGCTTGGTGCTTATTGATGATGATAAATGATTTATAATTATTTTAATAAATAATTAAACCCAAGCTTCCATGTTGATATTCTGTGCCACTTGCACTGCATGGTCTCAGTATGCCAGGAGGGAAATGCACTTGAATAGTATCCAAGCTCGAGTAAGGGTCTCTTTAAAAAAGAGCTGTTATTCTGCTACAGTGTACACAATATAAATACAAGGGAAAACCCTTTAAAATAATTTTGACAGTTTACCCGAGAAAGCCACGCCCCGTTCGCGTATGCTGCAAATGTATTGGTCCACGAATTCACCCCGAGCTCTGATTGGTTCATTCCCGTAGGTTTCCCTCAGAACTGCAAGACGCCGATATTGCGTTACATTGTAGCAAAATGGCGGCTGTCATTCAGAATCCACTAAAAGCGTAAGTAATTTAGACATTTAGGAAATATGTGACTAATTACTTTGTTGCCAACTTGTACGTTAAAACTGTCCGTTCGTGCATGTGATTTCCAGCCGTGTGCATACGGCAGATGAAGCTGTCTAAATTCATTTTGTGTACTTCTTGCATGGCAAAGTAGCCTCGTATAGTTCTTTTATTCCACAAGATTTTAACATTTAGTCTTAAACATGTGCGCGAGGTTGCCTGACATTTCGACTGCACCGGGAGAGCGTTTCCTCCACCCGGTTGTACACTGAACACAAGAGAGAGTCGTCTTTCCTGGGCTGTACATTTATTTGAAAACTGTCGACAACGTGCCTTTGCGACGCTCCGAATAAATAAAAGCGGATTTTCTTCGTGCTCGGGTAGCGGCGGAATATCATTTGACATAAGCGAAAGTCGTCTACAGTTGGTGTGAATTGTCGACATGTCAACTTTGGCTCCTCCGAGCGCAGACGTGGTCAGGACCCGGTAAAGCAAAGGGAGGAGGCATTTTGTATTTGCATGCTTGCTGGCGAAATCGACAAAAGTGACAGCAATTTAGAGTCCGCCGTCGGATACAGACTGTCACTCTGTGCTCGAATGGCCTGTGCAATAGTCCTTTTCATGCCTCAACTTCAAAGAAAAGCTCCACCTTTCTCTCCATTTCTCCTTTGTTCTTGTGTTGTTTCACCAATTCCTCTGGTTAACATACTGCTGCAAGTTAGACACAACACCCCCCCCTCCTCCTCCTCTCTCCCCTCTCCCCCCCTCATGCTTCTTGTCATTTCACCCGTAAACTAGCTCATCATTTTTTGACATTTCGTGACCACGCACATTCAGCCGGACGTGGCACCGACGTTCAGCCCTGTATTGATGTGTGTTATCGCACCATCATGGCTCGTTTGGGACCGTGGAGGTAGAGCAGGCGCTCCACTGTGCCTTTAAGTGGAGGAGTGCTGGAGATTAGCTTGGTCCAGGATCCTGGGCCCATCTGTCAGAGAGATGCTCCGACAGAGAGGAAGTGTTGGGCACAAGCAGGAGAACCATCTGCTCCTCCATAGAGGTACCCTGGCACCTCCATGGTGCACTGTAAAGCTCGGGGAGTGGACCACACAACACCTTGCACATCACCCACACTGTTGCCATTGTTGTTGTGACATTGTTACTACACCCTAGCAAAAAGGGGATGCTGGACAGTGACTTTTTCTGCTGAGGATCATGTTTGCACGCGCCCAGGTCGGAGACTTGCAGCCCCAGACTTGCACACTCATTGCGTGATGCTCTGGATGCAGGCGAAATGCGAAATTTTCTGTTGAATCTGTGTTTATACACAAGTCGGCCCGAGCGTGCTTGCACTTTTCATGCAATGCCCTGCTCCACAGTTTCCCAGAGTCCCACAGGGAATTACCCAATGCAATCACGGCCACCTGAACGGCTCAGTGAAGCACTTGATGTTAAAGTGCTTGATGTAAATGTTAAATGAATAATTCTTCCTTGTAGCTGCTTCCGTTTCTCTCATCCCACATTTGTGTTTTTATTATTGGGAAGTACATTTCATTATTACCTTCTGTGGGGCTGTTTCCCTCTGTGTCCCAACGTGCTTCAAGTGTGTGTGTGTGTGTGTGTGTCTGCTGTCAAGCTGCTGTTTCATCTCGGAGACGTTTTAGCATTCCGATGTTGAATGTCTCCTTGCTATAAACTGTGGTTAATGAAGTGTTTCAGTGTGCTATGATTAGCCTCTGTCTTGGGTTTCTGACTTCATTTCACACGTTTGTCAGATTATAATTAGTCACACTTGACACTAATTGGATGGTGCTCCTGTGGACCAGTTTGACCTTTTTTTTTTGTATTAAGATGATTCACTTTAGGGAAATGAAACGCTGGTGTGACTTTGTTGTAGAGATGTGGCAGATGAAGCTGCAGCGTGCAAGCCTGTGCACGTCTGTGTGTGAGGTCTGTCCCTCCTATGAGGATGGGGATGGGGTTGGGTTGGGTTGGGTTGGGG